AAATCCCCAGCCTCGGGGGCCTTGTAGCGGAGGGAATAGGGGGGGGGGGAGAAAGAGAAAAACACTGCATAGTACCCTCGAAATCAACAACAGTAAACTAAATACTATTTAAACCCAAAAGGTGTTGAACATCATCCGCATTACACAAAAGGTACTTTCTCAAGAAGGTAGTCTAATCAAACTGTAAACTCGTGAACTGCTCCTACCAGTGTATTCTGTTTTCTCTCCTCACTATTGTAAAGTCCGTAAAGGTTAATTCAATTAATAATCGTCAGAATGCAGGGTTAAACTTTTTAAACATGCCTTTCAGGAAGTATTTTGGCCATCAATTCTGCCAGCAGAAAGAAAGACGGACTGAATTGTATTCCTACTAAAAGTTGTTATTACGATCGCAAAAGACTTATGAACAAATTTATTAGCTTTGGCCATCACCTAATGACATATTTTTGTTTTTAAGATTCATTTTTAATTCTTCCATTTTAAGATAACGTAACATAGCAAAATATTATAACATGACAAAGTAACATAACATTACATAACAATCACAATCATAAATGTAAGTTTATAGATTTTTAAGAAATAAAAAGAAAGGGGAAAACCTCCTCCCTGCACCCCCCCTCCCCCCATGCCCTCATGCCGCTAACGAACCATGTACTGTTATTATTATACTAAGAACTAGTGGCGTAGCGTGGGCTCAGTCATGGGGGGGGGCAGTCTTTAGTCTACGAGATCAGTGTTTTTTAAACTTTTTTTTTGTCACGGCACCCTTTTAAGAATAAAAAATAGCTTTTCGCCATCCCGATCCCAAACCCATCACATAAAGTTCTTTTTTCACCTTTCTCTGGCACTCGTCATTTGCCATATGCACACGAACGTGCATATATGATTCTAAATTTTGGGAGCGAGCGAGCAAAGAAAATGATAATTTTTTAAATGGTAAATAATTATTTTGTAATCAACACACTAGATAAGACATATAATAATGTATGCGGGCACCTTACTGAGGAATGTACATGAATAAAAAACCTCATATATTCGGTCCCCTCGATACATGAATATGAGGATATTCAGCCATCTCATTGCCCAGAATTATCCTGATGCTAAATGGTGCAAGTGAGTAAAGCGAATGAGCGTGGGGAACGTAATTTCGGTAGGAAAATATAAGATATATTTGGATACCTCTCTGTCAAATAGAAGGACATTCGGGCTCAGACCTCGTTGCCCACATGTCGAGATGTATAGGCACATGGCCTGCCTTAAATCATTCTGTTTCTAAACTTTGAGGGCGAAGCAAGTGAGGAGGAAAGGCCCTTTATCATCTTCAAAATGCTACTTCCCAGTGTAATTAAAAACTGTATAGATGTTTCTAATCTTCGGTTTTCTTAAAATCGACGTTATTCCATCAACATTTATCAAAAAATATATAACAACACTTATCTAGTGGCACCCCTAGATATCTTGCGGCAGGCCTTGGTTGAATGGTTACAATTATTTGAGGGGGCAGATTGACCAGGCCGGGAGGGGATATACTCCTTGCCCCCCTTAGAGTGGGAAAATGTTGCATTTTATAGTGAAACGGACACAAATACATACTCTCTTCGTCTCTTTTCTTTATGTCTTCTGTATTTCACTCCAATCTCCATTTCGTTTTCTTCTCTGCTGTACACTACATCAAGGATTATGTTGAACAGAAAACAGTAGGTTGAACTTAAAAATTAATGATAATGATATTGTTCAAGTTGACAAATTTAAATATCTAGGTATTTTTATTGATTGTGAATTAAAATGGAATGTACACACCGATGAATTATGTAAAAAGGTTGGAAAAATGATTAGTTTCTTAGGAAGGTTGCGTAACTATGTTAATGAGACTGGGTTAAAACTTGTATAATTATAATGCCGCAATAATGCCACATTTTGATTATGGTGACGTGTTATGGCATTCGGGCACTAAGTCTCAAGTAGACATGTTACAAAAATTACAGAACAGGGCAGGTAGAATTATTCTTAAATATAAATTATCTGAACATAAACCAATTAGTGAAATTCATAATATTTTAAATTGGGAAATGTTAGAAAATAGACAAGTTAGGCACAGTTATACTTTGATGTATAAAATATTTCACAATTTGGCACCTGTATATTTGAAAGAGAAGTTTATTGTTAAGACTACTAACTATGCCCTTAGAAGTACTAATTTAATTTTGCCTAAACCGAAAACACAGAATTGTAAGCGTATGTTTCTGTATCGCGGAAGTAAATTGTATAATGGATTGTCTATGCACATTCGACAATCAAGAAGTTTGGCTATATTTAATAAAGAACTAAAAAGTTTAGTTTGAAATGTTATGACAGAGATAATATACACTGGAGGACTTGGAAAGGGGTGGCGGGAGGGGTTGGCAGTATCGAGAGGGTGGCGGGGGTGGTGAGGTTAGGGGGAACGATAAGGGGGGGGGGTTAGTGTATTGGTAAATTACTTTGAGTTTTATAAAAATTGATATTGTATGTAAATTAATATGATTTTTGCTTTTGGACCCCATGGAAGAACAGGACCATTTTGAAAATGGTTCTGAAATGGGCTATCCAACCGTTTGTCTATACTTTACACATTTACTTACTTTCTTATCGTTTGAAATGTGTTTTATATGTATGTGTTTTTTTTACAACTTGTATGTATATATGGATTTCGGAAATAAAAACAAACAAACAAAACAAGGACACAGATCTGATCAGTCAAAAGCATTTTTCGATAATTTGACTAATACAAGCGAGATGTAAGTTTTTTACAGATAAAACCTACCTTAAAAAAAAAAATCATTATATATATATATATATATCATTCACCAATGCCAGCACTATAACACAAAAGAAATACACTCATGCAAAGAGTTCAATGAGAGTCCCTATAGGGGGTAGCCAAATGAGTAATAGAGATACCCCCAACAAAAGAGGGAAACAATTTGTCATTGACTGGAGAAGCTAAACAACATACCCAGGGAGAGTACACTCTCCCTGATATACCATTCCAAATTACAACATGATGAAGAATATAATAACAAGGAAAAATTGCACATAAAAACTGGCGGACCAGATGTGAAGAAAATGATTAAGATTGTGACCAACGACCATAACTCGCAGACACTCGATTAAAACAAACATGTCTTTGTCCTAATTCAGCTATTCAACTAATTTTAGCTATAACCGCATATTGGCATGGCGAATTCAGCCATATGTCACAAAAACAGAAAATATCCAAGGTTTTAATAGAAAGAAGGAAGTAATAATACATCAGTTGAAACTAGGGAAGTGCAAATTAAATTATCATCAGCACATTAGTAATCAACATGAAGATGGACTATGTATCCATTGTATGGTTCAGAAACTATAGAGCATTTTTTACTACAATGCAAGAAATATAAAGTTTAACTTATGTGTATTTTACTTTCTTTCTTGAATTACTTGATAGTCGTATATACAATTTCCACACCACTGCGCCAGGAGTGTCATTTTTGTTTACAGACATGGCGCATTATAAATGTTCACTATTATTAGTTATTATTATAAAAGAGAAAGAAGGATAATGCAAACATATGGCTCCGTTTAGTCTCATTTCACAACGCCCCCTATCGTCAGAGCATGATCAGAGCCAGCAGCCTAACATGTTAGCCTATGGACGTTTTTTTTAAAAATCGTTAAAAAATTATTTTTTGTTTAAACGAAAAGCACATCCACCCCGACGTACGTTATCACTAGCTCTTTCATTGGAGCCCTCATGTCTCATTGACTTTTGAAAGTTCACCCACCGTAATTTTTCAAAATAGGTTGCAAGTTCGTCATTGCCTATAATACACATGTAAAACAAGTCTAACTTTGGATTCAGTTTACCAAGCGATTTGAAGATTATAGGTCGAGCACACGAAACATAAAAAGCATGAATTATCATAGATCACTTCTGCCTATTTCATTATGTCCATTTCATCCAACCCCCCACCGTAATTTTTCCATTTAGTAAAAGCAAACATTTTGCCGAGTTTAGCAAAAACATGAATATTCATGAACGGTCAGACAATACAGCCTTTTAGTACGTAACGTATAGTGAATGGGAATGGGCGATGATCCGTTCAGGAGGTAGCTAGAGGTCAGTGGTTTGTGCTGGCAATGTTCACGCGAGCGAAAATGAGACAATCGGAGCAATATGGACGATTGAAATGTAATACGTTAGATTTAGTAAAAATTATTAGGGAATTTATCGGATTTTAGAGTCCTCTTAGATTATATTAAAGATACAAACAGATTTGGAATTTTTGTATAGATATAGTGCGCTTTCCTCTGTGAGTATAATGATTGAAATGTTTGATTATCATCAATATTAAAATCATAGGGATGACATCCTAATGATTAAAATGCACGACTAATGGTGAAAGGAAATTAAATATAATTAAGTAGCACTTCGCTGATCGAGACAGGTGAGCCAACTCTTAACTCGAAAACAGAAGTCTGGAAAGACAGAGCCCCATCAGTTAGTGAGCCATGAGATCAAGTTTGAAAAGATGAACATGCAGCAAAGAAGGAACGCCGTGGCGCAGATAATCTGTCAAGATTGAAGAGCGCCATCTAAACGCCAACAACAACAACCATACAATTTTAGGGGATTCCCCATGAGGTAATTATAAGAGCGCGCGCGCGCCCGCACGCACGATAGGGCGTGGGCCCACTGACCTCTCAGTGCGTGGGCCGTGGCCATCATAGACAAATACAGTAGTGGCATTATGTGCGTAACGATCACCAATGTCGCAGTTATTGCGTCGTATTTTCAGCTAATTTCTCACTATTGACGTAGAATCTTGATTATTATCATCCAAGCTGCCAATACTGTAGACAGAAATGACACTTGCGTGAATAGGAAACCACTATTCGCTCGGATCCGATCCGCACAGTACAATTTCCTTCTTCCCACTGCACCGGCCACCGTGCCAGCCCACAGACGCTAGCCTATATTAGCGCTAAACAAGCTTGTGCATGCGGATATCGGATGAACGAGTGGTTTCCAAAACCACGATACAGTCACAGAATATAACCATCTGGTAAGTATGGGGATATCTTTCTTATTTCTAACATTTTTAAACCTTCTATAAGTATCAGGCAATTTGCTCTTTATTATTGACCCATTCTCGTAAATCGAAATTTGTTTTGTGTATTTTATTTTACCTTTACTCAAGAACTTGGAAGAATGCTGTTGAAAGCTTGGTGTATATAGTCTGGCTTCGAGCTCAGACTTTTGTATTCATCCTTCTTATATCTTTTTACAGGCATTTTTTTTTTTTTTTTTGGTGGTATTATCAGTGTTTCATTTCATTTACGCCTTTCACTTAATTTACAACATAGAAGAATAAAATAACTAGGAAAAAACCTGGGGCTAGTGTACAATTTACAAAGGGTGCAAAAGCTTTTGTCTGTGAAGCCTAATGTTTAAACCTAACTTGTAAAGTGACGGGGCAGATAATTATCTTACTGGGCCTAAATATGGTTAACTACGCAATATGCTTAAACTACTATAATAAGGTTTTTATCCTACCATAGGCTGTATAACTATACTGGTACTCGACGATGTCTCGTTGTCGCACCGATGTGTGGAGCTCCATGAAGCTACGTTGAGATCCGAGAACAATTAAGGAACACAGCAGTAGGCAGTGTTGTTGCACGCTTGCTATTCCAGGTTCAATCTGCTGTACCCAGTGATCGGCATGACCGCGGAAACTACCGCGGGTGTTGCCCAAATGCGGGACTTGCGCGCATATATCCGCCAGAGCCGTATTGGCTCGGGCTGAATCACTACACTTGTTTACGGTAAACCACTACGAAAGAGTCTCAGCTAAACTGTAAAATCTTGCTTTAGAAACCACCAAATGAAATAATTGAAATGTCAAATTGAAGAATAAGAGTTGTTCTTACTCATAAATATTGCAGTTAGTTGTTAAACCTCGTTACCCTGTTTTAAATCCCCACTGCACTACTTTTAGCTACTTGCGCCCTCTATACAGCCAGCAATGTCTAAGCGGTACCCCTTGATCCCCCATAATGCCCTTTTGCTTATGTTAATTGAGAGCTGATTTGATTAGATAACCACCTACCAGTGACCTTGCAGGGAGGTCTAATCCCTCCATGCCTTGCAGGGAGGTCTAATCCCTCCATGCCAAAGTAGTGCAGAGGGGCTTTAATATGTGAAAACTGAGCGAAATGAAGCGCCAGTTTTTTAAAACAGAAAATATTGCAGCAGGCCTATTTTACATATTTTCCGTCATGACACCAGGTCGATATTTTTGTAAATGATAAATCAAAACATATCAAAGCTTTTCTCAAAATATCTTTTCATTCATAAATTTTTATTCCACGGTTATCTCTAAAAAAAAATCAAAGGCAATGTCATCGACGAGCCCATGGCGAAACATTCATGGGAGCCAAGTTAAGGGTAGTCCTACGTACCATTATACATGTACTTGCAGGATTGTTTGGGCTGGACTCGGGTGTGTATGGATATGGATCAAGCATTGTTGGTTTTGTCTTTGTATTGTCGCAAGTAAAACATGCTGATGTGCGGTCAAAATTGAGCCAACAATGACTGAAAAATAAACTGGTATGGGCTGGTACTGTGAAAATATCTTGAAGTTGCCTGCAACTTGCAACTGTAACTCAATCAAGTTTACTGGACTGCAGCAGCCACAGCGTAAAAAGAGCCGATCGATGGCACATTTTGCATATGGTTTGCACGCACGGCCGCATGCGCACACCTCCAATATTGATGTAGTATCCAGCTTTTTTTAATGAATCTTCCCCTAGTTTTGAAAGCAGTTTTACACAAAACTACTAACTTCACCACGATCACGAAACTGGGCAGAGACACTCCAGCATATGTTGCATATTCATATTGTCCCAGATTTATCTCTGGAAAAAAGCGAAGCCTCTTTTCACCGACTTCTGAAACAGAAAAAATATATTTGAAGAATAATATCAATTTGTGTGTGCTGTGAATTTCTCATGAGCTTTGAAGCTAGAGTAAGGGAGATCCTTGAAGGCGAATTGTAGACGAATTTTGCTCCTCTCTTTGAATAACGATAACTTACCTGTTTGAAATTGGAGTGTAATTTTATGAGGGAGTAGGGAAGAAATTAATTGCCCTCCTCTCCCTCCCTTTTGATAGAGTTTAACTCTAGTTCACGTCCATTATGCAAGTTATTTGACCTTTCAGGATCAGTGAACACATTTTGTGGCTACAAAGAATGAGTGCACATGTGCGAAGCGGGCTCTCAATTAATCTCTTCCCAATACTCCCTCATAAAATTAAACTCAAACTTCAAACAGGTAAGTTATCATTTGAGATTTCAATAAGTGCCCCCTTTCCTTCAACAACTGCCACTTTTCCTTTGCAATAAGTGCCCCTTTTCCTTTTTTTGATGAGCCCCTTCCCCTTTTCCAAATGCCCCTTTTTATAACCAATGAATTCCCCTATTAAAATCTGATAGGCGCCCTTTTCCTTCAACAGATTCCCCATTTCCATTCTCACAAGTGCCTTTTTCCATCTCTGTTGAGGCCTTTTCAGGTGCAAGAAGTGCCCCATCTTCTGATAAGTGCCTACTTTTCCTTTCTCCATAACATGCTTGTGATGCTACCCTAATTTAAAGCTACTTAGAGCCCCTTTATCTTTAATTTTCATTATAGCTTGCTCACTATACATGCTCGCATTTGTAGTTGTTATAATTATGTTGTTTTTTGTCCTCTTTTTAAGATTAAATTTTTCGCACTGGGACCTCACAAATCTTTTATTTTTTGCTGGCTCGCTCGAAAATTAATATTCTGACCGTCACACCCAAATGCAAACTTTGTTGCTTTAGCAGTATCTTGTACCACATAAAGAGAGAAAAAAATATTGATGTCATCCCTGATAGTCTAATCACAATCATGACAATGTAGGGGTATATATATCAATGTCTTAAAATGGTGTAAGTTTCCCTTTGTATGGGCGCCCCCCCCCTCCCCCCTTTTATCTTTAAATATAGTTCAGTATTATATCACACAAGTCAAGAGGCAAATATTTGGATACGGAAAAAAAGCTTTAAAAAGTAATCCATTTCATGTACACTGTAAATACATGTCACTTTAATATATGCATAGTAAGTAGAATCCCCCTTTTTTATTGTCAATTACAGGATGTCTTGCTGGGGTTATCCTTCATGTACCTTTCCAGCAGACTGAGTTTCTGTCGAATGAGAAGAACATCTTGCACCATGGATGGATTCTGCCTTTTCTATCTGCTCATGATCCTCCTGGTGAGATCTGGTGATGTTGAAACCAACCCTGGACCAGACAGGTCAGTCTATATTTATTTGAACTTATTTCCAGTTCTTTATTGCAACAGTAATGAGCAGTAGGGATATTAAGTATTTTTCTTACTATTAAGTATAACACCACATACATGCATGCCAATTTTTCTTCCATATTCAAGTGCACTGCTCAATAAGGTACAAGTCGTGAGTCTGAATGCTTCAATACACCTTTGAATAAATCTCATCAGTACATGTAGCTTAATGAAATCAGACAGGTATGATCATGAAGATGCAGGTACTAACAGTGCTCAGCTGTAGAAGCTAGTGTACATATGTGTAGGCTGGAGTAGTTTATTCTTCCATGTAGTTAGTTGTACAGTCTGTTTCGCCCAAAAGCTCATCAAGAACTGAACTAAACTTACAAAGTATGAAGATAGGTGCTTTAATGAATATACAGTAGGGGTTACACCACAATAAGAGATACTTCAAGACCCTCCAAAGTGTTGAGAGCCCCCAAAATTTGATGGCAAAATTTCACTTAAATTGTATCATAATGTGAAAAGGGATGTCATTTTAAACAAATTTTTGCAGGATTTTAAAAACAAATGTGTTGATGTCAAATATTGATGAAAGAATACTGTCAAGATTTTCCCTGATATAACAAAATAGCCCCAAAGACTCTCATAAATGAGTTTTACAGAATTTTTATTGACAACTACATCAACATCTAAATTCATAGAAATCTGCTGTTACACAAATATGTACATATACGTACGGTCAATTAATTACTCCAATACCCACGAGTGTAGTCCCGTCTAAAGTTAACTTCCCGTTTTTTTAAGTGTCCGAAATTAAGACAATTGTCCGAATAAGGTGAAAGGCCTTTTGTTTGGTATTTGCTAATAGTTGTTGCTATATCAGAAGATCAAATACCGACATGGTTCCTACGACGATTCGATGCTTGGAGACTTGTGAAGGTTGATGTCCCGTAATCGCTCATTACGGCAATCGGTCATGTGCTTCCAGATCCCGGATATAATGACTCGGCGATTCTTGGATGCTAATTCGACGACGCTCAGCGTGCTACTAGTTTTGTAGTGTAGAACGTTCTTGTCCCTCGTTACACGGCTATAAATGAAATTATCAATATATCCTTCAAAATACATGATATTTAATTTCTACGGTTTCAACACTTATTTCTAATAATCATTTTCGAATAAAGCAAACGATGAAATAATAAAGGTTACTTCACCAGACTTTCTTTATCCGGTTATAACAAAACCAACATGGTTTCCTTCCACTACACTTTCTTTTCATTATTAACTAGGGTCATGCACCAATCTAACTGACCCGGGCAAAAAGTAAGATTTAATTGCTATATCAGAAGATCCAAAACCAACATGGTTTCTACGATGAATAGATTCCTAGAGACTTGTGTCGGAAGGATGATGACCCACAAACTTAATCAATCATTATAAGAATTTCGTTATGTCAATAAAAATTTGTTAGAGAAATTAAGTCATTTCTAGCACAACAATTTCAATAATAAATTGTTTCTCATCATTACTACTAGGTTGTACTGCGTTAATTCATTAACACAAAATCAAATGTTCTTTTACATATAATTTCAAAATTTATGCATGAAGCGTTAAAGCATTTATATTAATAAACGTATATAATTATCCCTATTGAACGACGCTCACGAGAACGATAGTTCATGAACGGCTCTTTCGTCACGTGTTCGTGAATAGTTACTTTTGATACACATACATGTACAAGCTAATTTGCTCTAACGTGGTGCTTCTTGCACACTGTAAATATGTAAATTATCTGAATCTCATTATCACACGTAGGTTATGTATAGAAAGCTACTTACAGTTATGTTGACAAGGTTTTGCCAATGGCAGGAAAATCGAGGTTCTGGGCTACATGGAGGATACCTCTCGTAACGGTGTCGCCTGAGGAAAAAGACTGCTTGCGCCGAATACAAAATCAAGGCTCTGGTAGCAACTTCCACAACACACATAAGGGTACATGTTCAAGACCTCTCACACGTCCAGCTACTAGTCCGGCAGCCATCTCGATATACCTTGTTTTAGGGTCTATAGTTTTTTTTTCTTCGGATTATAGTTCCTTAGACCATCAATTTGAAGAATTCGATTGCTGACACTCTGTCAGCATTGAGCAATTTGAGATATGTGACGTCATACAAAATGGCCGCCAAAATCCCCTTTTTAACCAAAATTAATGATATAAAAAGTTTTAACAGCATTTTACTACATTAAATGGCAGTCAAATATCTTGATTTTTTTCTAGAATCATCACTAAATAAAAATTGCCATGCTGTATGATCACAAATGATATGCAAATTTGCATAATTCGGAATGGCGCCCTCTATAGACACATTAACTTGCATAGTTCAAAATGATGGCCAAATACCAATTTCTAACATGAGATTATCATATGTCATGAGTCAGATGCACTGGATACAGTGAGTAAAAATTGTGCTGCACATTTATTTTTATTTTGTAATTTGATACTCGAAGAAAACACAGTTGAATTTTATGCTCTCTGTCCCATAGATATGAGGTGGCATATGCTGATAAATGCCCATTTTCAGTGACAGCGTTAAGAAACTAGATTTGTATTCTAAGGTACTAGATTCTTTTAAATTAACCTAAAAATTACGAACTACCAATACGGTACAGGACTATATCCGTTTATAAGTTTGGTTCAAAATCTTGAAATTTGTTTAAAAGCCCTCTAAAGTGTTGGGAACACTAAAATATTCCATGCGGAAGAGGGTGTCATTTAACACTTAATTCTGCAAAGTGAGGTCGTGACTGTAATACGTGCTTCCACACGCATGTTTGCAAATGAGCTCTCTTAACATTTTCTACAACCGCTTTAGTAGTTTGAGGTAGTGAGGCAAGGTTTGGGGGTATTTGGAGCTCCTAGTCTTCGGACCCTTGATAGCCACACGTTGATACGAGCCTCTGACATTCAGTTGGTTGTTGACTGTCCATAACATGAAGCAAAGCATTGAGTAGGTTGAGTGATGACATATGACCATGCTGCATCAACATTGCCAACTGAGTTCTAAGGGAGTCGAATCTTCTGCTTCATCACTTTCAGCATTGTACCCTATCCAATGCCAAAGTATGCCCCAAGAGTGTCGCATCCCGTCAACGCATGTCCTGCCAACATTGATGGAATGATATCTCCTAACTTGTCTACAATGGCAGGAACATCAATAACAGTTCGATTTGTGAAGGGGCGTCTCCATGGTCATTGGCGTTTTATAAGTCCGTCATGTAGATAATGATGCAAAAGTAGTACGTAGACGTCTGTGTCATCCACTATAGGACCTAACATACATCTTCTCATTAGCATCAATTCAAATCGCTTGCTGTACTTTGATGTTGCCTGCTTCATCATAACTATGTTGTGGACAGACCGTTCCTTGGCATGACATCACTGCCTGAAATCACTTCAACAGGAACCTCATCTTGACGGTAAAGGCCTTCTTGTGCTTTTGCCTATTTCTGAGCACCCAATCATCCTGCAGATTCGCGCATATAATTATGATGTCGATCAACTGTAGTTTGTTGTCATGAAAAGATAGTGAAGTTAGCAACACTAGAGACACGTTTCAACAACTTCGCTCCCTAGCTGTATTGATCTTTCCAAAGCTTTTGACTGCGTACAACATGAACGCCTATGAAAGATTATGAGCTAGATGGGCTTTCCAGCACATATAATTCAACTCATCCAGTCGCTCTACCAATACCAAGAAGCAACAGTAAGAACAGAGAATGGCTACACCGAAAGGTTCACTATTGGTCAAGTTTTCCGTCAAGGCTGCATCCTATCACCATAACTTTTCAACATATATGCTGAATTCATCATGAGAAAGGCATTTTATGGTCAAGTTTCTGTTGGTGGACGAACGATCACCAACCTAAGATACGCCGACAATACAACACTCTCTGGCGTATTGATGGGGAAGGGTTGGGGGGGGGGGGGGACAGTTGAACCCCAAACAAAATTCAAACTGTTTTTTCTATATATTCGATACCACTGATTAACAAATGTTGCTGAAATGACATGATTTTCCTGGGTTTTTTCTCACTTTTTAGTAAATTATTATTTGTTAAGCGTATGTTGGAAAGTGACAAATCCTAAATTCACAGTCAAGCAAAATATATGCTTATTTAAAAGCCTACATGTCAGGGTCCACAGAACAGCAGGGCTCAGGGGACCCGAGCCCCCCTCACTTTTTGTATAAAGTATGTTAAAGAGAACTAGAAAGAAAGAAAGAAAGTGACCCGAGGTCAAATGAGGTATCAAAATATGTTCATCTTACAGTTAATAAATGCCTGAAACCCTTGAGTTTCCGGGGGCTGTGCCCCTTGAACACCACGCCAATTTGCGCTCCGCTCTTCCTGATCGTAAATACTTCACCCAACCCCGCTCTAAAAAAAATTCCGCGGGGCCTGCATGTAACATGTATGAGTGGTGGTGATGCAGATTGTTTTTCTGCCCAAGTGTTTTTGCTCAGTATGCCACTGACAACACTTATAACAAGAACATCAGAAGAACTACTAGAACTCCTTGAAAAAGAGTGAAGGATGCAAGTGAATAATTTGGACCCTACCTCAATGTGAACAAGACTAAGATCATGATTGGTGGAAATTAACTACATGCAACAGAGCATGGTGGTTGATGGAGAAGAAGTTGATCAAGTGGACAAGTTTATATAATGTTCTTGGGTCAATGATTGTCAAGGAGGGTGGAAGCTCGGCAATATCTGCCTTTGAAATGCGGTGTTGGAGGAAGCTACTTGGGATATCATGAAGATATTACAACACCAATGGACACAATTAATGTCCATCATCGGAAATCAACCGCCACTTGCTACCAGGATTGACAAGTACAAGCTACAATAGTTTGGTCACGTTAGCAGAAGATCAAGAGACAACCTTGACAAATTATCATTCAAGGTACCTTTGAAGGAACACGTAACAAAGGAAGACTCAAGCTCAGATGGACTGACGACCTTAGGGAAATCACTAGCCACCCTCTAAATACTAAAGACATTCTACTGGATTGCAGGAGACAGATGCCGATCAAAAGGTCTCATCAAACGGGTCACAAGGGTGAGCCATGATCTATATGACAACGACGACGACGACGAACAGTAAGAGATGGTTTCTTGGAGGGCAGCAGTGACGCGGGACTCTCGACCCGTTATGACCTCTAGATACTCTCGGATCTGTCAAACACCAAGCAAACATCATCAGATTTTCATCCACAGCACAGCACAACCATCAATGACTGTACAAGGTTGTTCCAGTGTCTCATGCCTGGCTGACATCTCAACTTTTGTCAAATTCTATAAGTCCGTCTTTGACATGGGAATGCTCGTTTCCAGAATCATCAAAAAGTGCTGTTGGGACTGCTGAAAGCTCTTATGACAAAATGTCCTTGACATTGACCTCTCTTGAACTTGTCTGCAGTCCTATTACTCTGGAGTAGATCAACTTTTCATAGACTTTCGTACCCCAACATTGACTTCTTCATGGCTGCCACGGTTTGAACTTTCTTGGAAATTGTGTAATAGAATCCACCAGGTAATTTCTTTTGAAAATCATGCATCTGTCTAGTATAGATGTCAACTGCTTTATCCACATTCACTGACGTTGGAGCAATGCTGGTCTAAATAAAGCCTATCAATTGAATAATAATGTGTGCCGTAAAACCACTTCTCACCGATTTGATGAAAAATTAATTCTTTCATAGCCATTTTTTCTTGACATTATGTAGGAAAGGTGTAGGGAATTGGAGACCACCAAGCTTGAACCCATCACTGTCTGTCCGTGTTGGCTCCAATATTGATATAGCGACATATGTGGCCTTCAACAACACTACTGCATATATCCAATTCATTTCGAAGACTACAATGCGTTCTCTCTCCGAGAAAATTGGCAAAATCGACCAAGATAAGCAATTTTGATCGTAACAGTTTGCTCTGATATAAAAACACAATTTTCACTGAATGTTGTGGTGTATGCAGATATTTAGGGGTGGCTCTTAAAAATTAGTTTTAAAATGAAGTTTTTGAAATTTGCCAACCATCACAGAAAGCTTATGGCCATTGTGTGTTGTGAATGGGTGTTGCAATTCACATTATGAATGGTGTCTGATCAGAAATGTATGTAGGTAATGGGGGACACCTAGGTCCATGATGGGGGCCTACTTCTCCCCAGTTGTCCATTTCATGTTGAAAGGCACTATCATGAAACATATTTGGTTGTACGTGTCACCATTCTAATTTGAATGCATTTAATTTTAAGAAGTTGTTTCTATGATGTGAGTTTGATCAAAGTAAAAGTCATATTGCCAGAACATTATTCTGAAGGTATTTTAACATAATTGAGAGCACCTTTATTACTGTAAACAAAAAACTATAGAAATATTTTGGGCCACATTGTTTTAAATTCGTTTCAAAATTACAGTACGTTCATTGGCTGCATGTATCTCTTTCAAAAAGTGTTTGAACTAACTATAACAATCCCATTTTCATTCAAATTGTATTTAAAATGTCTTGATTTGTAACTGTCCCTTATTACCTACACATGTAGGTAATGAGAGACCTTTGGTGATGACGTCATTAATCATTGTAATCTTATTAATCAGTTACATCATGACCACAATTTCGTTACCAAATAAGTGAAAAAATACTAAAGAGAATACAAAAATGTCTGTATGTGTAACATTGTTCATGTTTATGTAAATTATTCAAATGTGCTTAAGGGTCTTCTATTCCCCACACCTACCCTATCTAAATTGTACCAAACACGATGAAAGATTAATGCAGCACAACTGCAATTGTTGCCCCCCAAAAGCATTTAATATGATTTCAACGTGACATAGATTTAAGAAATTGGCATTTGGCTGGCACACATATTTTATTCAAATTAATATGTTTATAGAGGGCGCTATTTCAAAATATGCAAATAAGCTGGTCATCTATGGTCATGCAACATCACGAAACATTTTTTTAGTGAAGGTCCTAGAGAGACACGGACATTTGGCTGACAAAAATTGTAGAAAAATCCTTATTTTATATTTATTATTCATTTTTAAAGGAAAATCATGTACTTTGGCGGCCATTTTGTATGACGTCATATATCTTAAATTGCTCAAGGCTGACAGAGTGTCAGCAATCGGATTCTTGAAATAGAAGATCTAGGCAATCAAAATCCATTGAAAAAAAAACTATGGACCCTAAAACAAGGTTAGGCCAATAATCTGGATTTGGCTGCCGGACTATACAACCTCCGTCTTCTAGTCAACTGCACTGATTTAAATCCACACGTACACACCTTTAGGCATTCTCGGCACCACACCCTAATTTGCATATATTCAGACAAGCGAAATATTTTCTATCACCAACGCCCTCTAATGTCTAGATGACCTTGAAAATAGGAAAACAAATAAAATAAGAACAAATTTGCCATTTTACTCTGACAAATACAAAATCTAGGTTTTTTGCGTACAACAGAAAATCGAAATTATGTATTCTTTTTATCAATATTTGTCTTCAAACACATTATTTGGGGAAAATCTTTACAATTTAAGTGAAATTTTGCCTCCAAATAGTGGCGAATTTGGGGCTCCCAACGCTTAAGAAGGGCTTTAAGAGATATTTAAGAGATGCTTGATAAACTCTTGTTTTTAATTACAGGATTGTCAGTGAAAAGGAATTCTTAAAGCTGTCCAAGCAAATTGAACCTAGCCACTACCAAGAGGTGGGCATTAACCTGGACATCTCCATTGTAGAGCTTGGGCAAATCAAGGAACGCAGCCAAAATACCAGTGATGCATTGATGACAGTCTTCACGAGATGGAGAGACAAACATCTTCCGGGCACAGACATCAGGGCTCTTCTAGCAGAGGAATTAGAAAGAAGTGACTTAGGGTCCCTCTCTGGCAAACTACTTGCTGGCAGTCTAGTCCTGAAGCGGACAGGTGAGAAAAAGAAGGAATCATTTATGTCGGCTGCCTGCAAGAAGGCCTTTACTGCTATTGATAATGTATTGCTCTTGCAGGCAGCCAACAAACACTGATTTGACACTTTCTCATTTGGTACAAATAGTGCTACTTATAGCAGGACATCTCAATAGATGAACATCCGACAAGACTGATACTGCCGGTCTGGTGAACCCTTAAAATAAATGTCAGAACACCCACAATGTGGGCTGTCAGTCCATCGGTCGTTGGTCTCATGCACCTTCTAACAACTTTTCAGATGGTTTGCTAGACAGATATTGTCGGTCGTGTGGGCTGTCGGTCGCATGGGCTGTGGTCATTAATACATGGTTACAGACCCACTCACTATGTGCTGTGTAAGGTTTTACATGAAGCTGTACAAGGATTATCGTTCAACAAATTTCTTGGCATTTCACAGATTTCAAACCCAGCCACTTTCTGACTATTTTTTTCAAGTCATGCTCATCTTTTGACACCAAGTTTATGAAAATTGCACCATTGCAGAGCCCTTTTTATCTTGTGTAACCTTATTTATGTCAGCCCCAAAATGTGTACAAAACAAAAGGAAAATTTACATTTCTCTCAGTTCTTTCTATATTGAGTGGAATTGTAATTGTTCTTTGAGCTACAATTTATGAGGCTTATAAGGTTCATCATTATTGTCCATACTGTTAGTCATGCAAATCAATGAGATTGGCATGTTACATATGGAAACATAAATAGACATGTATATACCTTCATACCTAAAGACAAATTCTATTGAGATACGTAGAAAAGAAAACAAACAGACATGTCATGCATCAACAATAATATACATGTATGATGTGCAGAAATTAAACTGCAAAGACAATAAATTATTATCTGTTCTCATTGAATCTTGGTCCAGAGAACACCTTCAAACAGCAGGACTAAAATGAAAATGAAAAGTTGATAACAATAAATACATCAGAAATTTGTTCTTATGTTCATGTGTATATGTTATGAATATCCTAAACAAAAACATTTTGATATTCAGAAGAAATTATCACACTAATTTTATTAAATTCAAAGGTGCACCTGTTACAATGCCAGGATCACAGACCCCAACACTTTCTCCTGACCTGATCAAGAGATGTGCAGATGATTTCAAATTCAAATACCGGACAACTCTTTGTAAGATCAGAGCTGATCCTCTCAACCCCGATTCTATTGCGCCATTCAATGACATGTACACAAACCTTGTCCTGGAAGAGGAATATAGACAAAGCAAGCGACCACTTGAGTACAGGGATCTCTTTGATCTTAAAGTCAATGGGGAGTTCCCCAAGCGGATCATGGTCCAGGGAGAGGCTGGGGCTGGAAAGACAACATTCTGTGCTAAGATTGCCTGGGACTGGATAACTGAAAATCCTGTTCTTCCAAAGTTTGTGTGGGTACTTGTTGTCCCTTTTCGTGTAGCCAAGCAAAACACAATCGGTGAGATTGCCAAGTCGTATCTCTCAAAGGACAACCCAGCAACAGCCTGCCAGATCACTGAGTACATCCGTTCAAATCCAAGACACGTATTCATTGCATTTGATGGAGTAGATGAGATGGATGGCAATATTGTACAGCAAAGGAAAGCTGGTTCAAAGTCAGAATGTCACCAGCTAAAGTCTGCTGATCAAACCAAGGCAAGATCAGAATCCAAGAAGAACAAGAATAAGCGGCGAAAGTTACGGCAGCCAAAGTCAGGAAGCCCATCAAGTGCCACTTCGCAGCCAAGAGTCAACAGTGCAGAGGCAAGTGGAAGTTCTTCAGAGAGAGGTGACATTGCACTTACAGACATTCTTCGTTCAGATGAACTTGCCACCTGCCCGGTGTTGGTGACAAGTCGCCCATGGAAGGTCACAGAGATTAGATGGGATGATATTCTAAGGAACCAATACACTTTCATACATGTGGAAGGATTTAGCAAGGAGAATGTGGAGGTTTACATTCACAAGTACTTTCAAGATGATGGGGCCAAAGCAGATCAGCTTATCCAATTAACCAAAGACAATGTCATCATATCTGAGAATATGGCTCCGTATCCTATCTACATAGCTATGCTCTGTCTGATGTGGAGAGAACTTGATGATGAAAAACAAGAAAAGTTTAAGTCATTACGAACTTTTTCTCAAATATTTGATGAAATATTTGAATTCTTGAAGGTGCATTATGCTCAGAAAAAAATCCCAGTTTTAGACAGCCCATCTTTCCAAGCCTATCGCTCTCAAATTGAGAAGCTCATGGAACCAGTTGCCAAAGTTGCTTTCATCGGGCTACAAGAAAACACCCTTAGTTTCAAAGAAGGTGATTTTGCACAGTGCTCAGACTCCATTGAAACAGCTTGCAGAGTAGGGGTGTTGTCTCAGGAGAAAAAATTGTCATCTATATATGATAAGAGCAGTATGTTCCTGCAGTCTACTATCTTCTTTCCACACAAACTGTTTCAAGAGTACATGGCTGGGGTCCATCTTTCTTCCCTGTATGAATTAGATCACAATGAATTCAACAGGCTGATTGAGCAAGTAGTGCTGCCTAGAAAGGAAGAGTTTCGGTATCTCCTGTACTTCACCGTGTCACGGGACAAAACCATTGCAAAGCATGTCATGAAATGCATGGTACAGGGTAACACCTCAGACCATGAGGAGACGGATTTCTTGGTTGATGTATCCTTTGAGAGTCAGGACCTAGATACTGCAGCCTTGGTGAGGGGTAGAATGTCATCTCTGACAATATGGCCATTCATGACAGCACACACAATAGCAGGTTATTTATTCACTGGACTAGGTGTACATAAAGATGTAAGTTTGATATCTTATGTACATTAATAAGTATTATAATTTAAAGGGGATGTCCACCCTGATATTAAGTTGGTTTGAATAGAAGCAGAAAATGAGAAAAATGGGTCAGTGACAGTTTGAGCAAAAAATTATTAAAATGATTTAAAACTCAAAATGTTCCTATTTTAATTGAATATTGCTCAAACTTTCAATAATTTATTTCTCTCCTTTTCCTACTTTTATTAAAACCAACTTAATATCAGGGTGGACTTCCCCTTCAATTGCAAACCCAACAGGCATCTTCAGGCACACATTTTTTTCTTAGGAATGGCTACCGGTATTTAATGTTTTTTTTATTTATCCATTTATTCATGGTATTAACCAAAATATGATTAGCAGCCAATGGCTGAATTGTTCACACTTTACAAGCATGTTTTAAAATTACATAAAGTACAATACTAAATATGGTAAGAATATCCAAAAGCCAGATGATACTTACAGTACATAGAACACTGTAGATTAAATAATTTAAGAAAAACAGAAACAGAATAAATATAAGTCATGAAACATAATTCATGGAGAGAATTAAATCACACTTTTGATCAATAAATTATGTCCATTGTTCCCACCATTATATCTATCCCCTTCCACCCCCCCCCCTCTCTCTCTCCCTCTCTCTTGCCTGTGGGTTGTCGGCAGATACATCAATAATTTGGTTACAGATATTTGGTTTAATTCAAGGTTTAAAGTATTTATAATAAATTCAAAAAAGAATATAATTTTAATCAACGGTATGAGTATTAAAAAGAGTAAAAAAAAATATTGCATAATTATAAACCGTCAAGTTGGTCAATATTGATAAAGTGCATCAATTTTTTTTGCAGGGTTTGAATGGAGTGTAAAATTGTACATATGGTATAGAAATCTAATTAACACTAAATAATGGACAAAAATGACAAGATAAACGCATTAAACTGAGAATAATGGGATTTTGCTGGTAGTTTTACCTAAGTATATTGCACAACAAATTTATTTATGGCTCCCTTCCCCCCCCCCCTTTACTTTAAATTTAAATTCAAGAGCCTATGATGAGGTAATGGAGAGCACTTCTTTTGTAGCGCTCTGTTATACAAAAAACTTCGGACTAGGTTTGGCCATTTCGCAATGATCGACAATATAAAGTTGATCGCAAGGGAGGAAGCCCGTGGTGAAAGTTTGATGATGGGCTGGTCAATCTTTTGCCCAAACTCGATGCTAGTTTTTCTCTCCTTTCATTTAGAGTAGGTAGTTCCAATTCTCAGAGAGCATGTTGGTATTACATTAGTGCAGTCCAAGCACAAGGCAGCACACTCATTTTTGAATATTTCAATCTGTTTACCTTGGTGTTCAGTTAGCCTAGAGTGCCAAACAGGGGCACAATATTCTACCTTTGGCCAAATGTAAGAACAGTAGACACATAATAGATCATTTGCTGGAAGTTTGAATCTGTTTAATATTCTGAGCATGTATAGTTTTGTGCTTGCTCGCTTGACAATATCATTCACATGATATGAACATTTCAGATCAGTTTAACCAGTACTCCAGGTACATGGAATTTTAAAGGCCCACTGCACTACTTGTAGCTACTTGCGCCCTCTATATAACAAACAATGCCTAATCGGTGACCATTGGTCCCCCATGATCCTCTTTTTCTTATGTTAACTGAGAGCTGAGTTGATGAGATAACCACCTGTCCAGTGACCTTGCAGGACGTTCTAATCCCTCTTGTAAACTATGGCAGATAAGCTTTAATATGCCTACTTTCATGCACTCTCTTACATCCATGACCTTATACCTGATTATCAAATCAAATAATTGTTTTCCCCCTTTTCAAACAACACATTTAAAATCAATGACAGATTATTTGTTTAATAAAAGTGGCATGGACATAAAGACCAAGCACTATACAAAATCAAATCGATAAAGTTTCAAATATTTTATACACAAGACAACATTTAGGAGAGAAAGAAAGAGATGAGAAGGAAGCATTATTAACAAATTTGCACAAGTCTTCAAGGAGATGTCTTTAATACAATATTTTACACTAATGATATTTTTAAGTGGATATACTACCGGCAATGATGATTATTGACTGTCTATTTTTTTTGTAGTGGAGGGGAGGGGGGGGGTTGATGTGAAACATACATTATGATAATACTTTGGCAGTATCATTTCATATACCCATCATTATAGGCATATGATAAATATCAACAGTACTATTTGAATTAGTTTTATTGGACGACCAACCCTTTTCTGGTTGGAAAATAAACTGCTTGAAATGGCATCCTACACCTCAGTTTTGCTGCAACCAGTCCTCTTGATCATTTGATGCTCAGACTTCGGAGTAACCCTTAATTTTGATGGATGGAATAATTTAGGGCCCTTTAAAAATGGCCTTTACCATGCTGCATTGCAGATAAAATGTTATAGCAGGCCTTCCTTTGCAAATAAATTTGGGATCATATAGGTTTCGTAGCACTACTCTGATGATATCGACCACTGTATTAAGTAACCATTCTGTAATCATTCAATGAGACTTTCTTAATGCAGGCCGAGTGACAGAAGCATCAACAAAATCTGAGGTGGTCTTAAACTTTATCAATGGACTCTGAATTTCTCATATTTTAATTTTTTGTTTGTTTTGTTTTTGTTTTTGCTTTGATTTAGATCGATCGTGGAGTAAGTAGAGAATTTGGACCAATTATATCACATCATATGGCAGAGATTATATGCTCTGTGTCCTCTCTAAAGCATGTTACACTATGTGGAGCTGCCTTGCACAGTGACTTCTATGCAGTTCTTGCTAAAGACGGAAACAAGTCCAAGGTGAGTGAAAAAACACATTGTAATGCCGTAGTCTAGCCTAAGGGGGCGCTTTGTCAAGACGCATAACATCAATCGCTTGAAAATTTGAAAAATCACTGTGATTACAGTTGTAGAAAAAAAATTAAGTTGGGTCAGGAATTTAAAAGTTAAAAACTAAAATGTGTATTGTTTTTGTCATTCTGTCACTTTGCATCCTCCCAGTAAGATTTACACAAGGATGTTGCAAAATTTTCTCACAACAAAATACAAAATTGTAGTGGGAGAGGGCCCAGAGGGGGGGGGGGGGGTAAACCTTCCCCCTTCAGTTGCCAAACTTCCTTAAATACCCCCCCCCCCCCCCATTCCTGCCATGACAAGATATTGCTGCCCCTGAATGTTTGATTTAGGGATAAACCATAATAAACTTGAGTATTGAATGGGAAATGCACATTGGGAGTCAATACATGCAAAGTGTTCAAATAATTTAAAGCCTATCAGAAAAGGTTTTTATTGCCAAGTCTTGAATTATATTTAGTGTTCACTTAACTTCTTTCTGATTTTACGTTCATGACATGTTGCATTAACCTCAATTGAAAATTTCTGCATCATGTCAGGGTTTCTTTTTACAATTTAGTTTTGACTATACAACCGTCTGTAGTGTATATTGGATTCCGGACCAAAGTTTGTGAAGTCAAAGAATCAATTTGGAGAATGTTCTAAAGTAATATGAATCAAATATGACATTTATTTTTAAAATTGCCACTCACAGGCCAACAGCTGTTTTGGCTAAAATCACAGTGCACATACCTGCTTAAATGTAAATAAAAATATGGCTGATGATGATGATATCTAATTAAAAAGGGAATTGAGATGAAAATAAGAGATGAACTTGCATTTTAAGAATGTTATTCAATTTGTCGACAAACTCGATTTCCTGGTACATCATAGTTATTTACATTTAAAGCGACTACCTATATTCTTTATTTCTGATATTACTGTTTTTCTTTCCTAATCACTGTCTGAGTCGCTGCTACTGTCACTGATTTTCGCTGCTCTGATGTCGTATTCGATGTCCTGCATCCTGCTAAATTTGCTTGATAGTCCTTGGTAGCGGCACCCTATGTAGCACGCTATTTCCTTCTTAGCACATGAGCAGTTCTTCTTGCAACCTTCAGTACATCCGCATGATATAGCCTTCTTCATTGAAACGGGCCAGGCTTGATGGGTACTTCGAACCGGAAGCACGTGCTGATCATCCAGATTCCACCCAAATTCTGTCCAGGGTGGGGTTTTAGGCTTGGCAATGTGTGCTCTCTTATTCATCATCGTTGCAAGGGCATGCAGCTCTCTTTACATGAAGAAAAAATGCGTCTCCTGTTTGGGGGGGGGGAGGAGCTTTAGGAGAGTATAGATCTGTTGTTCAAAAACCTGTATGCTCTGAGATTGCCCAGATCAGACTCCTTGAAGTCATCACTTGCTGAGGTGTTAATATATGTTGTGATGGCCCTAATACCTCCTTGATTAGTTCTCTGGATACAACGTCAGTGATGGCCCTTGCCTTGGGGTTCTCGCCAAGTCAACAATCTCTAGTTCTCCATCACTAACAATGATCTGTGTCATACGCAGAAGAGCAGTTACTTCATCACTCTTCCCTGATTTAGCTCTTGTGGGCCCAGACTTCTTTTGTTTCTTGTTTTGTGTGTGGAACGTGTTCAGCTTCATAATACTTGTCTTCTTCTGAAGACTGGACAGTGATTGAGACAGTGCCTCCACGCCTATTTGTTTAACACTGCTCAAGTTGTCCTAAACTGTGCAATCAGCACATTGCCCAGTTGACACATTTATCAGGGATGTTGTAGTTGCACTGGATGGATTCGTCTCGACTGCTACCATTACCTTGATGACCATCTCTGTGTCCCTTGTTACTCGACATACACCAGATTCATTGTTAGGGCTGGGTGAAAGAAGATGCAGCATCGATATTTACTGTGCAGAGACAGATGTGATGGGTTTTAATTGTTTAAACCCATTTTATCCATGCGGTGGGGTTAGGTGTAATTCCGTCATGACCGCTTTCTTCTTTACTTGGCATCTGCATTTGTCTGTTCAAGAAGCATGTCAGGAGAAACACAATTGTGCTTGCCATCTGCTCTCCTTGCAACAAATGCACCCGCCATAAGTGCTTCATGTACATCAGGGGCTGTTTTAGGAAGATTTTTCATCTCATCAAGATAGAGAGGCAGAGACTGCTGCCCATATTTGTAATGCCCTGTTGCTTTGAGGTAAGGTATCATTCAATATGATTCACAGACATGTCCTACCCAGTCAGCTTCTCGCTGGTAGTAGTTAAATCTATGCAGAACATCAGGAAGGTGGACCAGTAGATTGCTGTTGGTTGATCAACCATTGATTCTGGGAAAAGTTCCTGAAGGGCTGATAACTGTTGATGGGAATTCTGAAGCATTTGCAACTTTTCAGTGGCAGTGATGTCTTTTTCATAGAGCATTTTCAAGACAGATTCCACCTCAGGCTGCCAGTGATCTGTTTCTCTGTCTGCTGCCCATCATGTCTAGAATGCTTCCTAGTAGAGGCGCCACATAGTTTCGCTCAGGATTCTGAGGGCATGTATGGCCTGGTAGTAGTCGGCTTTATCACCGAACATCTTCTTGTCAGCCCCTTCCTGGCACAGACAAGCTGCAACAAGAAAATCTTCTGCACCTGCCGCCCTAAAGATCTGCAAACTGCTTTCATGTAGTTGTGAGCTTGATGAAAGCCACCCAGCAGTAAGACCACATTGCTGAACTCACTACGATGCTTGTCTCTGATGGCTACAGCGAGCTCATATGTAGCCTGGGCAGCGTTTCTCGAAACCGTCATAACTACAAGACATAACTACTCAATATCATCTCCTTCTAGGCGCCTCAGTTTTTTCAGTGCGTCACCAAGTGGTTATGTGGAAGCACATATAAATCCTGAACCTTTGGTTTGATTGAGAACCAAAATATGTGACCCATAGTATTCATGTAATGTATGTTTCAAGATGGTCGCCCGGTATTTATCTCCTTTATCGACACCAAGCTCCTCAAGAATGTCTCGGTACCTTACGCGGATGATTCTATGAGGAATGTGGACAGACCAGGAGCTGGAAAAGAGGAGCTTCCAGCTCATCTACAACATCATAAGGGTTTAACTTTGACCGACCAGAATGCGAAGAGCCTTAAATTTGTTCATATATGTTGTTACACACGTAAACTGGATGAAGAATAGGCTTATCACAGATTCTTGTTGGCATATGATGCATTTTGTGTAGTCAGTGCTCATATCTTTGGAAGACTTCTTAGCAGGCACATGCTTCATGGACATGGCACTATCTGCCACACGTTTTCTTGGCTGGTTACTCACCTTGCTGTAGGAACCTATAATATAGAGGGGTGTATCATTTGAATAATAGTTGCACTGTATTTATATTTCATATAAACCTAACTTTGAAATGTTACTTTACATTAGCAGGCAAACTTTCACTCTTTCTTGTAATTCTTGTAAGATCTTAAAAGACAGACCCAGGAATTCCGAAATTCATCTATTACGAGGTTGCTTTGGTCAATGTCACCCTCTTATATCTATATCAATTATAAAACAACATTGAGATGGGGGTAATAGGTATATTAGTATTGGATTAACAGGAGCATTGGATGTAACAAACATGTAAAGTCATCACAAAAGGTTGCAAATCCGATTTAAGTGTTGTGATCCAAAACACAAGATGGAACAAAATTTATGCTACATTATATTAAGGTTTATTTTAATCTACAAGTGTTAAAGTGGAACTAGTATAAGAAACTATATATTTATTGGTTCACTTTCTCTTATATTTACATCAGGTAATGTTTTAATACAGAGTCCTTGAGAAGAATCTTCAGGATTGCTCCATAGTGATGCCAGATGATTACATATGGAAATTCTGTAATAAGCTGCTAGATAATATTTTATCAATAATCCAAAAGTTTGCTAAGAGTAAAAATATTCTGATTTGAGTTAGCAAAACTTACTACATCCTCAAACCTGCAACTGAAATTCCTACCTCATTCAAAAGGTTCAAGCTGTTTAGGAAGTTTCTGATAGTTTCTTCATCATTCTATTATTTGAAATGTACTTGTAATGTTTGATTTCCTGTCTCTCTGATGTTGCTAACAACTCTGTTTAGTCATTTATAGAAAAAGGGAAGAATGCAATTAATCATTCATGTTTCAGTTGCAAACTTGACACATACGGTATGCGGCAATGATGACCCATATTAAATGTATTATCAGGGAACTAAACTGCATATTGTCCAAAATGAACTTTGTTATGCTATAACTTTTTTTACATGAAAAGCAAAACATCTGTAATTTTCAGATCATATTCAACTAATATTACATACCTGCCAACCCTTACAAATAATCCGGAATATTCTGTTTTTCTGGATTAGTCATTTATAGAACTTCATTAAAATATTTGTAGATCCAGACAGGATTCTATGTTTTATTTGACCATGTCATACAAAAACCAAGATTCTACAATTACCTTACACAATTTGTATTAATTACAAATCAGAATTACTAATTTTGGGGGGAATTTATGAATTGCCCCTGCCACTTGTGTCTCCCCCATCGCCCAGCCCAACCGTTCACTGTCCCTTCAATCATTAAGAAAAAGGATAGAATGCAATGAGATGATTCACGTTTCAGTTGCAAGGGCAAACCTGACAGATATGCGGCAATGCCGACGCACGTTAAACGTATCATCAAGGAACTGGTCTGTGCATATTGTCCAAAATGAACTTTACTACGCTATACATTTTTTAACATAAAAATCAATGAACCTGTAATTTTCAGATCGTATTCAACTAATATTAGGAAGGTTTTCTATATATTTTTAATTCTTCAGTTTCAAAAGTGATTGAAATATGGAGAAATAACTCCACCAGGTGTAAATGGGTACCTGATATTATTCAGCACTAGTGTAAGGTTGCGGTTCTAACAGTAATTCCTAGCACTCTTAACACAGAGACAGCCCAGCAGACATGTTCTAGGATTG